GGGAAGCGGTAAAAGAACAGATTTGAACAGTTAATAACTTGATGAAACATGGGATGATTATGTGAACAGATGCTTTTATGCAAATGTCATGTTGAGATCAGCAACCACATCTTAATGGGCTGCCCCTTCACTTTCAACCTTTGGTGTTCTATTTACAAACTCCTTGGAATTAACTGGGTAATGGCTAGGTCTGTTAAATCAGAACCGCTTGCATGGGAGGGGCAGAAATATGACAACGGTTAATCTCACCTCATCCCTCTCTCTATCATGTGGATTATTTGGAAAGAACAGAACAATAGGGCTTTTAGGGCTAAAGAGACACTGCTCTAACTACAGATAGATAGCTACACTTGTTAGGCTCTATGGCTTTGGGACATGATTTTTACCGTCCTGAAGATTTCGCGGTCTTTGTAAATATTCTCACTGACCATTTATAAATCTTTTTTGTACACGGGCAGTACCTCCTTGGTACCTACATTAATCTACTCACTCTTTTTATCTCAAAAAAAAAAAAAGATGATGAAACAATAAGCCATGTTCTAGGTGCTCACTAAATGCCATTACAAAAATGAAAGATCGCCTTATCCACAGAAAGACCAAGATAACAACTAGAAATAGTGTAAAACGTAGAGAGAGACATACCAAATTCAGTAAATCACTCCTTTTAATAATTCCATTGATATAAATATTAAGGCACTTCAAGAATGCTTGGTAGTCATCCACACTGCTCAACCTCTCCTTCACTTTCTCACAAAAAGCAAATGCTTGATTATACATACCTGGCACAAAATCATAAAAACCCAAAAGATAAACAATTAACAGTAGCAGAAAACACAATCATACACAAAATATCAAAATGGCATCGCAAAACTGTTAAGAAACAGAATCTCGTACTTACGTAATTAATGGGACTAGTTGAAAACAGCACATACCATCACAAAGGTTACTCAAAAGCCTATCCTCCCCCAAGCATGGAAAAGGAGGCCTCATGGAATTGTTTCATATGTTCCCAGAAGGTACATTCACATACTAGTAAAACACAAGAAATAAACAACTAGATTGTTGACAAAAACCTTTCACTAGAGTTTCCTAAGATTAAAATTACTGAGTGAAGAGAATCTTAAAAAAATTACAAAGGATATTTCTGAATATGTTACAGACTTTGACAAGAAAGGATTTTTCTTACTGAAATTCATGAAAGATGCGAAATCTGAAATTTGTTATTGAAATCCAACAAACATGTGAAAATGTGAAATCATCTGTGCACATGAAATATGCTTGAAAAGCATATAACATGCAATTGGACAAACATTGGACATGGTACAATGCATGATAGCCACTAACCGCAAAATTTGAAAAGCAAAATATCCTTCACCTAGAAAGCAATGTGCATAAGTATACACACACATGCGCTCGCATATATTATGCACATAAATATACAAAAAACTGGCTATAAGCTACATAAAAGAAAAAGGCAAACAAACGTACACTGGTCAAGCGCCAAACAGTAAAATCAACTCACGTTTCAAGTTCTCTTTGTCATCATGGGAAGCAAAGTTAGAATTGCCTCCAAACCCTTCAACCTTCTTGACAGCAGATTTCCTTTTGTCAGGAAACCTCTGCAAGTTGAAATCTCTATTGTTATCTTGCTCCACTTCTCTATCATCCAGATCACGGTTTCTCCTATCTCTATTCTCCTTTTCTCCACGCTTTCTCTGATCTTTTGACATTTTTATAATTGCCTTGTCATCATCAGGTTCAGGACAATCAACACTGACATCACGATCACCATGTGAACCAACAACCCTTTCCCTTCGACGTTGCTAGAAATGAGAGATCCATCAGTTCATGGTGAGAGTTGAGGGGAAGAACAGGGAAAATGCAATACAACTAAAATAGATGAAAAAATAAACATCAAATTACCTTGTCCATATGCATTTGCCACAGTGTGGGTGTAGCAGAGGTCCGTTCGTTGTATCGTTGAACTGAATTTTTGTTGTATGGAGCATTATTTGCCCGAGCCGCTGCTGAAGCATCTGGTAAAAATCGAGTGAATTCATCTAGCAAATCTGGATGCTCATCAAAAAGGGCTGCGACCTGCATGGACATCAAACAATATCATGGAGTATTAAATAAATCTGAAGAATAAAGTTTCCGACTGGGAAAAAAAACAGGTAGAGCAAGCAAATAGAGAGAGTATTAATCAATGAAAAAAATAAAACACGACAGAAATACCTCATTGTAAACTTCATCTATGTCCTTATGCTCCTTCCGGTACATATTCAAGATGTCCAAGAATGATTTATAGACATGCTCATCATTTTGGAAACGCTTCTGTGGAAATGCGAATTAATACATTAAAAGTATAATAACAAACTTATTTACAAAATAATTTGAACAATGCTTTCACCTTTATCTTATTTACAAAATTGATGGCTTCTTCAAATTCAACTGTTTTCTTCGGCGGAGTTTCATCCTCATCGAGGGTTATTTCATATCCCTTAGGCAAAAAGGTGTTAAACCCAAATATTAGGTTATTATGCCCCCTGAATAGTTGCTTAACTCTAGCAATTACACCAGCTGTATCAGTCCTGAAAGGAAAAAGAAATTGTCACAAAGCATTGACAGTCAGATCATTATTGGCAGAGACTAAGATGGTCCAATGAGTATACCGTTGCGCCTTAAAGTCTTTCATCACATCCAGGAACATATCATATTTCTCCCTTTGATCCTGAAACATTTCCTTCACTTCTTTTAGATAATTCAAGGCATCATTGGTCGTCAGTTTCTGTGAGCTGGCCCCAATCCCACCCCCTCCTACTCCCACTCCTCCTCCTCCCCCCCCTCCACCACCACCACCTCCTCCTCCTCCAACTGCCAATTCCACAACTCCTCCTCCTCCTCCTCCACCACCTCCACCTCCGCCACCTATCACAACCACTCCTCCTCCTCCTCCTCCTCCGCCTCCAACTGTTCCACCTCCTCCCGCTCCAATACCTCCACTTGGATTTTGGGATTGTCCATAACTGCAGGGAGGAAAGCTCATAAAATTGGAGACTACAATGTACAATTTTTCTCGTTATGCATAGGTCTTTTATGACATCAAAAACCTTTTTGAGATGTATCTAAACCTGAATTACCTTCAGCTTCTACATCAAGAAGGTTAAAGATATCCTATTTCAAAAACCAGATTACCTTAAATAATGGAGAAATTTTTTATCAAACCCATCAATGAGGTTTGAGTTCGAAACTGAACAAAGATCTAAGAAATGCTGTCCACAGAGCAATACAAAACCAAATTAAAATAACCAACTTATCATAAGATTCCTTACAAGATTTTAAATCAGCTTCAAGCATGACATAACTAGCATATTTCTGAAACTACTACCTTATACGCCATTGGCTAATTCAAGTCACACAAATAAGAAATCCCCCACAAACTCAAACCCAGGAGTTCCTGATAAAACCTAACAGACCAAATTGAAGGTGACGAGACAGAACATGACTAGTAACACGATCAACTATGCTTCTACTCGTGATCACCAAGAAGAAAACAACAAATAACAGCATTTCAAAAAATTACAGTGATGTGCACCAAAATCAGCGACAGAAACCGAATTCAAGGTGGGGAAAAAAGCAAAGCAAAACCAACTCGAAAGAGATGAGCGCATACACACGGAAGGGAGAAACTTACGATTCTCCACGAGAAGAACCAAAGGGCCGTTTAAATTGAGAACCACCATAAACATCATCTCTTATCCTCTTCATACCTGCCAAAAAATAAAAGAAAACGAGAATCTTCATTTCTCGCGCAATAAGAACACAAAATACAAGAAGAAATTCATATCAATTTTGGTGAAAGCAAAAGAACTCACTTTCCACTGCTCCGGATTTTACCGGGGAAACAACAGAAAACGTGCAAGGAGTGAAGCAGATCTCAGAGGATAAATAAAACCAAAAACAAGAACAAAAAGATGACAGTGCTCGGCTTCGATTGAGTTGTAGAGAGAAACGAACATGTATTATATGTATTGGTGGTAGAGTTTTTGATGCTAGAAGAGAGAATTGGAGAAAAATAACAGGGAAGAAGACGAAGAGATAGTTCGAAATTTGCAGGTAAGCGAGAAAGAGAGCTTGAGAGAGTAGAATCGAAATAAAAAAATGGGAATTCGAAAACCGGTGGAAAGATGGCTTGTGTTTGGGGGTTTTGTTTGTGTGCCTCCGTCCTAAATTTGTAAATTTTCTTCGTGAGTATTTGAGTTTTGTTTTGGGCCCATTCATGGGGCGACTTTTCCCCAAGTGCAAAATTCTCAAAATTATTAAATTTTAATATTTGGCACTTCCTTGTAATTGAATTTTTATTTTTTTTTCCTTACAATTTAGTTTTTGATATTTTTTTATTTATTTTAAATACTTATTTCTTTTTATTTTTCATATAAAAAGTTAAAATAATTAAATTATATTTAAATATTTTAAAAAATAAATTTAACTAATTAATAAAATTATAATATACATATTTTTTTTATTATTACTCATTTATTAATTTAATTAATTATCAAAATTATTTTTGAATTATTTTTAAAAAAACATTAAATATAATCTAATTATTTTAGTTTTTTAATTACAAATATACATTTAAAATAAATAAATAAACGTTTAAAACTAATATTGGATATAAGCTTCATAACCGATCATCACATAATTAATCATCTTTACCATCAATTGGCCTCCATAGTCGACTTTAGAAGTTGCTACTTTTCCCTTCATCGTCATAGTTCCAAGTAGTTACAGTAGTCATATACATCATTTTCAACTCATCTCTTGTGACTAGACGTGAACAACTTCATATACCCATATGTTCTACGTAAAATCTTTCTGATTGTTTTTTCAATAATTAATTATCAATCAATTCTTATAGGATATCAAAAAATATATTCAGAGTTACTAAAGCAAATTCTAACATGATAATTTTATATATTAGTAAATTCATAGTAAATATTACAAGATAAAGAACATGACTTGAGTCATTAGAAAAACAAATAGATAAATAATTTATTGGCACACTCAAATATGACTTATATCTCACGGAAACTAAATGTCTTATGTAAATTATTTAAAAACTTTTGAATTATAGACTAATGAGTCATAGATCGTATCACTAATACTTTTGATCATTTTTATACATACGTTCTATATATAAGTAATATAAAGATTTTCAATGCCTATAGTTCCTTCAATACTATTACAAGCAATGACAACATTAAATTTAAACCTATTATTGTCATGGAAAATATAATATATTTTCCTAAATTATGCACTAATCTTGTATGAGTAAGTAAATTATCATAATACTTGAATTGTAAAGTAATATTATATTATTCTCAATGTGATTTTTGGCATCGAAATTCAAATAAGATAATTAAACAAATTAAAGATAGAAACGGACTCTATTACTTGAATATACTTGAATATATGCTATTATTATTGACCCCCACATTCAAGATTTGATTTCACCATAAAAGACTTGGCACTCATCATTTTTCATCTCAAAAGATATGTTTTCTCATTATTTAAAAATTTAAAATATTAAAATTTATATTTTGATACGTATAAGTTTGTAAAACATAAGCGTATGACATTTGCAATTAATAGTAAACAAAGTTTAGTTTCATTATAATAAATCTATAGTGATATTTGAGAACTATTTTACACACCTAATATTTTTGGGGCTCGATATCTTATGTCATTTATTGATGATTATACTATAACTATTTTCACTCAGAAATAAATTTGATATTAATCATATCATATATCAGTTATGCAATATGATAAAAACCCAATTTAAAATATCCATAAAGAAATTTTGTTCCAATAACACATTATTTTTTTAGTCACTCATTTTTATTATTATTCAATCAGAAAATAATACTTCATGAATCATTATGCATCCCCACTCCACAACCAAATGAAGTAGCAGAAATGCAAGAATAGTCACCTTTAATCACCACCAAAGCATTTATCTTCAAAAACGACATCCCAAATAATATTGGGGAGAAATTGTCTTTATTATCACCTATATTATTAATCATTTATCCACACGTGTTATTGACTTTAAAAATCTTCTTGAAATATTTCAACATTTTTATTCAATAATAAGTATTACAAACCATATGATCCATCATATATTTAAATGTTATCCTTTTTTATATTCATTCTCACAAAAAGTGAAAAACTTAATCATTATACCCTAAAATATATATTTGTGTGATACTTTTTATCTTAAAATGGATACAAATATTATCATTCATCCACCCAAAAATTTTATATATCTATAAATGTTATAGAATTCAACCTACTTCACATAATCTTATGTTCAAATAAAACCTATATTAGAAGGTAAAGATACAAAATATATAATAAATTTTTACTTACTGCCATTTCACACACATCAAAACCATAGTCACAATAAAATATTCAGAACCCATTACACCACAAAAAAACCTTTAAAATCCTCATATAAAGAGATCATACCAGACTTTAGGTTTTCTCATGTGCGTATAAAGAGAGAGATATCGAATATTAAGCCAAAATAGGTCAAAAAATCTAATTTTGATATTGAAATTGAGATAAGTCTCATAAAACTTATACAATTATTTGATGATAATATAAATATTGTACTTGGTAAATGTATAAAAGAATAAACTAACATCTCTATATCCTATCTCACATAAAAAAAGAATTATTATGTAATTATTAATCACCACTAAAATCTTGCTATCTTTTTGTTTTTGCCTAAGCAATACCTTCTTCATCATTTACATCCATACAATAATTTTAATCAATGTTAGCATGTTAATTTTCAAACTATTAGATGCTAGTATTACTTAACATTATTTAGATGATAGTATTAATTTTAATTAACATGCTAGTATGAATACTATTTTTTTAGTAGTATTAATATAATTAAGCTTATTAGATGAATGTAAATGGTGAATTGGGTTTTCCTTCATGCACCCATAAAACAGCCCGCGACTCTTCCTCTCTCTTTCCTTGTCCCTTGTATCCCGCCCAGCCCACTTATACAGTTGCTCCCAGTTTCTCTTCTTCTATATTATTTTCAAATTTCGATGGTTCTCGTCCAGATTAGACTGACCAATTAGACTGACACGCTTGACAATTTCTCTCTTTTAATCTGCGCTCGCTTCCATTGATTGGATTTGCAGGTTCACCTACGGAATTTACTCTTTTGCACTAGAGGTTAGTTTCTTCTTTCTTTCTTCAGTAAAGGTTGATAGGCTTTTCAAATATCACCAGCTCCAATTTGTTATTTCCAGCGTTAGGTTATAAGTTAAAATTATTGCCCGACAATGGAGGAGGAAAAAGATGCTGTTTATGTTGTTAGAAAGGGTGACACTATTGCCGTTTACAAGAGTTTAAGCGATTGTCAAGCACAAACCGGATCATCTGTAATTTCTTACTTCATTTTTTTCTTTACAATTTACTTTTATTAGTTTACTGTCATGCACTTCTTTGATTGCTTTTTCCTCCCTTCAAAAACTGGGTTATACGATTCTTCATATGGGTCTCTCTCTCTCTTCCCCTTCTTATGTGAATTTTTTTGGGTTATTTTTGCATCATTTAAATTGTTTTTTAAATGGTGTATATTGTCTTTAACTTAGTGTTATTATTATTATTTTTTTGTTTTGGTTTGCTGTCTGCCCAATTGTTTAACTTTCTGTATAGGTCTGCACTCCTTCAATGAGTGTGTACAAACGGTATGGTTTGTCCAAAGAGGCTGAGGAGTTTCTCGCTTCGCATGGACTGAAGAACCCTGCTTATGCTATCAATGCCAGTTATGTTAAAGAAGATCTTTTTGGTGAACTTCTTCCTTGCCCATTTCAGGTTACCCTTTGGACTTTGACACAGTCAATGTGATTCTTGTGGAAGAATCTTTCACTAGTTAACGATTGGGGCTTATTTGTTTTTTTCTTTTCATTTTTTCAGGAACCATATTGTTCCAAAGCTCAAACGGTGGTAAAGGATTCTCCACCTAAGAGATCACAAGAACAGCTTCATTCTAACATTACTGTAAGTTAGAACTCATTATACAAGATTTGTAAATGGTGGTTCGTGAACCCATCATATATACTGTTTGATGTTTTCATCAAATTATGGATTTTAATATTGTTGTTTTTGAGCTTTTCTCTTTTAAGAAACCGTCTTCTTTCAATGGACAAATGGTTGCTAAGGAGTTCTCTCCCGATAAAATTGCAAGAAGATGTTCGCATGACTGGTTTTGTAAGCTAATCTCATATTAATGATTCTGAAATATGGGTTTGTGAACTGATTAGATGTTATGTTGTTTTCATCAAATGAATGATTTGGTTTTTTAATTGTGGTTGCTGCGAAGCAATAATTCTACTTAATAACACCTGAACTACCTTTAATCAGTTTCTATTGGAGTATTAACTAGATCTATCCGATCATCTTTTTACTGCAGAGATGAAAATAGCATTTTATTAAATTTTAGTTACTCTGGACAACATGATGACAATTCGGACAACATAGACTACCATATACTCACCACTCCTTCCAGTTGGTAATTGGCACTGGTCTAGCAGTAATAAGTGAATGGTTAAAGATAAATACTGCATAGTAAAATATGGTTTTACATTAAGATATCCTGAGGGTAAATAAGATAACTTTATTTGACACTAGAACATGGAGACTAGCATTTCAAGTTGACTTTATTTTCCTCAATCAATTTTTGACATGCCATCTTTGTTCTGGTGTAGGCTGAATGTGACTTGGATTTGTTCTTAACAGATCCTCAGAAAAAGCATCTCAAAGTAGACAATTGCATTCAACTTCCTATAATTTCTCCAACATGTGTGAGTTTTGTCAAAATACGTCAACTTTTTGTTGCTACAATTCAGTCACTTACATAATTTAGCAAGTATGTCTGTGTATCATCTTCCCTTAATGTTAACTTTTGCAAGTTCTAGTTTAATTTACTTGTTACAGTTATACTAAATATGTACTTGAGATCTATTTTAAAAGAACTGTTATATGTTATAGTGATGTTAGTCTTATAGAACATTTCATCTGTAAGCAAGAAGTCAGTGCATCTATTGGATTCTGGTATGTGTTTACTGTGTCTGGTGCAATCTTTTGGTGTTAGGTTGTTTATGGCAACTGTTTTATGGTGCTGCATCAATTTCTTAGACTCTCTGACTTTAAAAGAGATGGCATGTCTCTGGTTTTTCTTCAGGACATATATGTGAAGTAGCATGATACATTTTTTAGTTACTTTGCAAAAAAATAAAAACAATCATTTACATCATTCCCAGCAATCCTGTATTATCGAGTTTGATGGGGCTTCCAAAGGAAATCCTGGACCAGCTGGTGCAGGAGCTGTTCTACGTACTGAAGATGGAAGTTTGGTATGTAGTTAGTTGAAATATACCTCTTGCTTTTATATTACAATATCCTCTGCGGACTGTAGCTTGATCTGACTGGCTTTTGTCAGGTATATTTGTTGCGTGAAGGGGTGGGTATTGCAACAAATAATGTTGCTGAATATCGAGCTGTAATTTTAGGACTTAAGTGTGCCCTTAGAAAAGGATTTAAACATGTCACTGTCAGAGGAGATTCCAAACTTGTCTGCATGCAGGTTAGTTGGTTTTCCCTTGTAGTTTCAGTTTGATTGTCTTTTGTTACTTGGCCTATTTCAGTAACAAATGAACAATTTTTATGTTATTAATTTGAAAATCCATTTGTAATTTAAGTAGGGGAGGGGGAAAATCCTTCACAAAATGGGAGAAATTGGTATTCTATATTATTCAAATGGAGTTTATTGCATTTTGATGAAATTTAGAATGCATTATCTTAATTCCATTTGGGACTTTCTTGGAAGTTGAATGACATTAAAAAGGATTTTCACAAAAAATCATTGGCTTGTTCCAAAGAAAACTTCTAGAAAAAGAAACTTGGTGGACCACATTTTTCATGTGCTAATGTGTTAAAGAGAAAGTGAGTCACAGTAAATACCCCTTTAAAGTGGAAACTTGAAAGCAAACGTGGCAAATAAAATAATCTGTTCTATTTCTGATACATGAGAAACAGAAGTTGCAATAAACAATTGAATCTGCAAGGAGTTAGGTAGCCACATCAGTAAAGAATCAGTTAGTAGTTGGGGAGAATAACAATCAATAGATAGCATGAGTAAGCTAAACTAGTGTAAAGAGGGGAGTATTACCTGTAAAGCAACAAGTTGTTTTGATGAATGAATGACCTTTCCTCTTTGTCGCTCTCTTCCCCTTCCTCCAATTCTCTGTGAATTCTAATTTTTTTCCCTTGTCTCCAAGTCAAAGGCCTTTTCAATTGAAAGATATTGCTATTTCAATAAATCAAATTCTTGACTTCTCAGTCTGGTGTTTTCTTCTTTCTGATGAGAGTGGGTATGGGCGATGAGTTGTAAGGCTGTTCTGTACAGGAAATGGTTTATGCCTCTAAAAGATAGAGAAATTAATTTCACAAATGCCATTAATATGGTCATGAGTTATGTCATATTATGAATTTTCTATCCTAAGATAAGTCTTTGTCTGGGTAACTACATTAGTTTGAATATTCTTGTAGTTCACACATAATAATCTTCACTTGCACCTATGAGGAGTTCTTACCTTGCAGATCCAGGGCCTATGGAAAATCAAGAACCCAAATATGGCAGAATTGTGCAAACAGGCAGTGGTGCTTAAGGACAAGTTTACATCATTTCATATCTTTCATGTTGAGAGGGTACATGAAAATGTTTACCGTTCATAAACTTTGATATTAAGTGATCTGGGGGTAGTTTTGGTTTTGATGGTTCATTGAGTAGTAGGTCTATTGCTAACTTTTTTGCTAATATAATATATTTGTGTTCATTTTTAAGGAGTTCAACTCCACAGCTGATGCTCAAGCAAACCTTGCCGTCAATCTTAGGGGTAAGGGCATATGTGTGCTCCATTTATTTCTTTAATGGCTTTTAAGGATTATTAATGTTTCTTGTGTTCTTGATGCTTGTACAGATGGTCAAGTCGAAGAGTCATGTAAATAAAAATTTAGATAAAATTTTGGAAATCAGCAAAAGTGCAAGAGAGCTTAGGCCAATCAAGAGTAACAATAGCCTATGTAAGTATTTAGAGCCATCATTTTTGTCAATCAGTGGGTGAAAATGAGTTGCACCCATTTGTCTTTCCTCTTCATGGAACTTTTGCAGTTAAAGTTTGTTTCTATTCTGCAGAGATTAATGTTTAACGGTAGCACCTCAAATATATTTCTGGATTGGTGACAAATAAGTCTTGCTTGTCATAATCTTTTTCAGAAAAAGTTCTGTCCCATTATGTTTAGTATTCCTAGATCAATTTAGACAGATTAACTTTGGTTTTCTCTAATTTGGAATAATGTCTCGTGTTGATTCAAGCTTTCTGGATTCCATTTTTTTTATTGACTGCTTCTATGTTGTACTAAGAACGTGATTTGATTAACATCATCCCAAGCCAACCAGATATTCATTTCAAGTACACTTGCCCAAACACTTCTTGGCTTCCGCAACTTCAATTAGTTATTTTGATCTTGTTAAGTGGGTCCAGTATACATTAAATACAAAAAAAACAAAATCTTATATGGGTGGATGTAGGATTAGTTTTTTTTAAAAATAGATCTGATGTGTGTGTGTTTGTGTAGGATTAGGAATCTGAAACTAAGTAGAAGAAAGAAAAAGAAAATTCATTATAGATAAGAGACAAGTGAGGCTGATGAGATATATGTAGAACACGAAAAAAGAAAAAGAGTGTTGCGGTACTTTGGAAAAAGGACAGCTTAAAATTCCTTTTGGATATGTGAAAATCAAAGAGAAAAGTTAGAATTCTTTTATTCTTTGATTTTTTTTTTTTTTGGTGAAATAAAATGTATAAATATATTAACAGACCCTAAGGAGGTGCCAGCCCCTATACAAAGTGTATTTTTGTTCTTTGATTTATGGTTGGGTATTTCAAGAAGGACTAATTTTCCAGTAGTTATCTACAAATAGAGAGATTTGTAGGATATTAGTTAATGAGATAATTTAAATATTTCTTAAAAATTGTAGAATCCAATTCTGTAATTAGCATGAGATTGTAGTGCTCATTATTAGTATATTGATATTGGAATTAATTTAGAGTTTGATTCGTAGTTTTTTCCTTTGTACTAGTGAATTTTGGATGTAAAATTTTGTGTTCTTATGTTTTTTTTTTTTTTTTTGTATGTTATCTATTTTCTGTAATGTTATTAAAATTTTATGTGATTGTGTTAATTGAATTAAATAATTAATATTATCTAAAGTGCAGCAAGTAGAATTAAAATCTGGTTGTGTAGGAAGCAAGATTAATTGTGTGACATAAGATGGATAATTAGCAACTCTCTCCAAATGGAGTTGTCATTTTATATATTAGATCAAAGGCAGAGATGCTCGTGTAGATTCACCACATGCTCTTGTTATTGAGAATGGAGAGAGGAGTAAGAGCAGATGTTCTAAGTGACATGGTAAATTCAGAGAAAAACCATTGTCAAAAGGAAACTTCAAATATTACCATTATGCGAAAAATAATCATAGTAAGAGAAACTGCAACTATTTAATAAAGACAAAGGATGGGAAGAGCGAAAAGAAAATAGATGATGACTGCTACTACATCTGAAGAATGTGAAGAATTGATAGGGTTTACGTTTGGCTTGTATTTTTGTCTTCTCCGAGCATTGACAAAATCAGAGAGAGAGAGAGAGAGAGGGTGTTGAAATCAAAGCATGAGGGAGTAAGAGGGTGGTTGCAGCGTGATGATGGTAGACCAGGCAAGGCGATAATGGTGATGGTTCAAAGAAGCGAAAGAGTTATGGTGACTATTTTTCGTACTTTACTTGCTTGCTTCGCTTTCATATTTAATTGATTTTTGAGCTTTACTTATATAATTTAAGACATATTATAAAACATATAATTTTACTTCATTTAAAAACCTTTGGGGTTTAAATATCACTAATTTATAAGCTCCCTAACAAGTGTTGGGAAAGACTAGGAGCAAAATTTATCACTAATTTATCTTTAGTAAGCCAAACCTGACAAACCTAATATTGTGCTTCAACTTGTAATATTCAATCGTAGAGGGAATTTTCTTTGATTTCTTCTTTGAAAATTTTTGAGTTTCGTAAAATATGTGGGAATAAATCTCTTGGTTGCGATTTTGTGTGAGAAAAAATATTAAATGGTGAGACGGACTCTCTGTCAACTAACTTTCATAAGAGAGCTTGAAGAAGAGTGTAAAAATCTCAAGTGAGTTGCTTGAGTAGATTATTTAAGCACATAAGTAGTGGTTGGACCTCTATGAATTGAGTTTGCACTCTCTCTTTAATATTCTCCGAAATTATAAGTTGCATTTAAAATACAAGTTATACGAATAATTTTATTTATTTATTTATTTATTTTGTTTATTAAGTACTTGCATTTTTCCTTGAGTTTTTGAAAATTTAGGAAATTTGATTCATTTTCGCTTATACTGTAACACCTCGTTCATCACCTTGTTAAATTTGTATATGAAAACTCTTATTTATTCGGGTATTAAGACCACCTGAACTCATTTAAATTTATTTCGTAGTTTATATCGTATTTGGTAATTTAAATTTGTAATTTTAATTTATTCAAATTTCATCATTTTATTTATTATTATTATTATTATTTTACTTTATTTTTGTTGCATTTTTATTTAAAGATAATTTTTAGAAAAAAAGAGGAAGATGGAGTGAAATCCTGCGGGAAAATGCCTGCGGGAAAGGCTCGCCCCCATGGGCAAAGCACGTTGTGCGTGTGCGTGCGCGGGCGGGCATCGCAGGACGTGTGCACATCCCATCCGCGCAGGGTGCGAGTTCAGTCTGTGTGGCATCCCATCATGCGCAAACATGCCAGTCCATGCGCGCATCACATCACCTGCAGACAGGGCCAGGCACCATGCACCCTGTGCGCGGTAGGATGCGCTTGTAGGCTAGGCCTGCAACGTGCGACAGGCCTAGTGAGGCGCACTTCCATCTCGGGTAGTGTGCTGTTGCCCCTTGGGCACTATACGTTGCCTTGGGTGGTGTGCCACCGTCGCCTTCAGTGGAGAGCCGCTGCCGGTTGAGGAATTCTTCCTCTGTTTTTCGCACCACTATCATGTTGTGTCAAATCATTCCACTCATCTTCTACTTAATTTTCTCTTTCCTCACTGGATTTAGCCACTTGACGCAAATTCAACGGTCTCTATTTTCTGTAAATAAGAACCCATTTCTTCCATTTTCCTCATCACTTCCATTTCATTCTTTCATCTTCCAAGTGCTTAGAGAAAAAGTGAGTGATCCAGAGAGAGAAGGAGAGGAGAAGAAAAAGAAAGGTGTAGGTAAACTTCAAAGTTTTGTTAAAAAATTTAGTATTTTCTTAACCATCTTAAGGAATATTTTTAAAAAATCAAAATTATGAAGTTCAGGTTTTGTGTTTTACATGTTTCATATTTAGTAGTTCCAAAAAAGTGATTTGTTCTTGATTTCAAGCATACTATGTGATCTTATAGA